GATTCTATTCAAGATGCATTTTGTGAAAGCCTTGTATAGAACAGGGAGTACCGTGATTGGCCTGTAGTTCTCCAGGGAGTATCTATCACCTTTCTTGAAGATGATAGTTGTCTCTGACTTGGTCCACAGGCTCGGTATTGATCCGGTTTCTAGGTAGCGGTTAAATCGGTCCGTTATCAGCGCGATAGTGTTTTCGTGGCAGCATTTGAGGAAGTCTGCGCTTATTTTATCACTGCCTGCTGATTTCCCATTTGGGAAGGACCGAAGTGCCGAAACGATTTCCTCCCGTAGAAATGGAAGGGGCCTATCCTTGACTTGCGTTGTCGTAGGCGTAGGCGCTTGTGGGGCTCTACTCGCAAAGAGCTTCGTGTAGAACGATTCCACTTCCTTCTCCATTTCTGTTCTAGAGGTGAGAGTTCTGCCTGTAGTAGAGCATTTGAGGCATGGAATCAGTGACTTGTATTCGTTCATGTCTCGCGCTACTCTCTTCAAGCTTTTGCGTTGATCGGCTGCTCCTAGTAACCGGGAATTGGTGAACTCCTTGTGATCTCTTTCGATTGCTTCTCGGCACTGTTTTGAGAGGTTCTTGAAATTGGGATCGGACCTGCTCATGTTTCGTCTACGCGAGAGCAATTGTTGTGTTTCGACAGAGATCCTATTGGTCCGGTGGTTTGATGGTTTAACAATGGCTTGGTCTTGTAGTTTCCTGAGTAGCGTTGTTAGATTAGAGTAATCTTCGTCAACGCTGTTGGCTACTGGAAGACTAACAATCGAGCTTATTGTTTTAGCCATCTCCGGGTCCAATACTTTCTTTGGCGCCTTTCTCTTCCTGCTTTTATCGTACTTCAGCCAATTTATGTTGAAGTGGATGTTCGCACGGAGAAGGCGATGGTCGCTTCCTACTGTGAATGATGGTAGCACAGAAGTATCTGTTACAAACCTCCCGTTGGCGAGGATGTGATCGATTTCGTGCTTGAAAAGGCCATCTGGACTTATGAAAGTCCAACGCTTATGGGCTGGCTTTTGGAAAAGCGAGTTTGTGTGCCATAAGCGGTTTGTTTCACAGAAGGTTGCGAGGAGTTCACCAGCGTCATTGCGCGGTTCCATCGAATTGACTCCGATGAACCGCTCGTTCTCATTACTTCTGGCCCCTACGCGTGCGTTGAAGTCACCGATGACTAGCTTGTAGTCGCTCCTACAAGAACGGTAAGCTTCTTCCACAGCGTCATAGAATAGTTCAATTTCTTCAGGTTCGGCGTCGGCGGTTGGAGCATAAACTTGCATGACTGTGCATTTAAGCTTATTTCCAACCTTGAATGTTAGCATGCCGATCCTGTGGCTAAGAAATCTTACTTCTTCTACACGGGGAGCGAGGGTGCTATGAACTACGAAGCCGACCCCTCCAACAACAGAAGTGTCATGACGTTTGCCTAGGAAAATCGCTGTCCCATCAACGTGTTTCATATGCTCTTCAGTTGGCCTTTTCGTCTCACTGAGTCCAATGATATCGAATTTGATTCGATTGAGTTCATTGAGGAGCTCAGAGAGTCTGGTTTCTGTAGCGAGCGATCTACAGTTGAAAGTGCCAATTCTGAAGTGAACTTTTCGTGTTTTTGGGGGCGATTTTCCATTAACCGAGACCAGACAGTTGCCATCAGGCCCGGATTGTTCCCTTTCTGCTTGACCTGTAACTGTCAATCCAGGGGCAGAGCTCGGGTCCGGGACATTTCTACGCTTTATACTGTTTTTAGCGGACTGGGTCCCTGTTTACTTCTTCCGGCTTGCTAGGCCGAATCGAAGCCGCCCGGATGAGGAGTATTCGACTCTACCCTCGGCAAGCGTGGGACAGTGTACTGATTAGCCTGAGCATGTTCCACTGGGGTGACGAAATCCCCAGTTATGTAGAGGAGCATGAACAGTTTATCTTCTTCGCCACGAAGAGGCTCAGTAACAGAAGAAGCTCGTAAATCTACACTGATTACGATATACTGAAGGCCACGCCCTCATCAAGTCGTTTGACGCCGACAATAAAAAATTAAAAAAAATAACAAATAAAGATATTTTTATCGTATTTTTCCCGCACCCTGTATTTATCACATTTTAGGTGGAGTCTTCTACGCAAGAAATGGAGCACTCCTCGGCATCGCTCGTGGAAATGAATGGAACGGAAAGGAAACAAATCAGTATGGAGACGTCTTGGAAATGGTCTCAATTCAACGTGAGTATAAGTTTAATATAGGGTCTTATATGAATTTCATTTTTTCAGTCATTCTCAGCCACATTGAATTCTCCAGCCACCAGCCGTTCTCCGTTTGAGTACTTGTTGAGCATTAAAAAAAATATATATTTGACCTCAGTGTTAGTCAGTCTTTCTCGTTAATATCTACTTCGCTAGTTATTTCCCCTCTCTCTTTCGTTCTTGGTTTGGATGTGATGAAAATGAGTCGCTTCTGTGTCTGTGTCTCTTTGCTATCTTCGGGTTTCATTATTGTAAGCCTTTTCCCGAAGTAATAAACTGTAATTTTAATATCGTTCCCGACTGACGTCAACTGAAGTGAAGCTATACAGGACTGCGTCTGAGACTACCTGTGTACAGCAGTTATTTCTTGCAAAGACTTGTTTCATTTCCAACACATTTACTAATTCTATGAGTTCGAAGTTAGTAAGAGGAATAAAACAAAAAAAATTATAAACAATACTTAAAATAAACAATTCTTAGTGTTCTCAGATCCTCTGGATTTATCTAGCTTCACCATTTATTGAACATTATTTTTATCTTCATCTTCATACACTTCTTTTCAAAAACCGACATCCGTCAATTTTCTAAAAAGTGTGAAAATGACACATTTTCTGAGTCATTAGAACATAAAAATAGAAAAAAAAATGAAATCGACAACAGAAAATTGATTGAAAATGTACAGTGCTGGCCATAAAGAAATCAAAAAGTGGTTTTTTGAGCATAACTTTTCTAAAAGTAGTCCAATCACTCTGAAATTTTTGGAGTGTGTCCGCAGCATCATTACGCACAAATGCAGACAACAAATTGCATCATGCTTGAAAAAAAAATTTTTTTGGGATTTTTTTTAAATTTTTTGATTTTTTGATTTTTTCACACTTTTCAAATCACCAGCCATAGTTTTTTTTTATTGTGCTGTATATTTAATATTTCAAGTTGGAAATATGTTTTCAGATATGGGTAGACGTCAAGGAGCAAAAACAACATCTGTAGAGATTCAGAAAGCCATCGTCAACGGCTTCAAACAAGGGACATCCGCGAAAATGCTTGCTCAGCAATTCGCCCTATCCATTTCAACTATTTCGCGAATCCTAAAACGATTTGATGAACAGGTAACATTTTTAAAACATATTTGAACAATTTTAAATGTCTAGAACAAATGTATTGTTCGAAAGTCTCCTGGAAGACCGCGTGAAACAACTCGAACCATGGATCGCAACATTGGTCGGGCCGCTGTAGAAGATCCTAAGAGAAACGCAACGATGATCCAGATGATTGTGAACTCTCCAAACGATCCAGCACCATCTAACAAGGGAGGTCATTTTGCTGTCCGTCTTAAAATTTTTTTATTTTTTGCATACAGATTCATTAGAAAATTTCCAATCGAATGAACTAGGTCGCTACCTGCGCAAACTTCTAGTTATCGAGATATGGACCTTCAAAGTTTTAGCCCCTCCCCACGTGAATTTTGCACACAAATGTGCGGAAACTCGAAATGAAATAACGTGATGTCTTATCTCGTGCTTATATCCTGATTCGGCAAGCAGTTGTGGTTCAGTGGTGTGTAGGTTATGTTGTCATGAATGGAGTTGCGGATTCGGTCCCGCTATCTGCAAACTTTTTGCGTATTTTTTTAATTGGTGATACAGTAATTATGACAGTGCAATTTTGCGTTTTTCTATTCAAATTTGCCATTTTCATCATATTGAAAGGCCATGTATAAAAAAAAAATAGTTTCAAAAAAATTTTTAAAAATTGAAAAATTTTTTATAAGTTATGTGGTTGTTGATCATGAATTGCTTGGAGCAGTGGTTGTCACAATAGAAGACTGCATTTCCTACTCGCAAAAACTTCGACGTCCAAAGTTGTACGAAACCGGTGCAACCGGCAGAATTGTTTCGGTCTTCAACATGTTGTTTCGAGAACTCTGGAACACAACTTCTTGGGGAAACCTTCTCATCAAATCCTTTGTCATTACATAATACGGTCAAATATGTCACCTAGAAAAAAAGATTCAAAAATTGCTCCAGTACAGTTAGACAGCTAGTGAAAATCTTTTATTGAAGCCTGTATTGTGACAACCACTGCTCCAAGCAATTCATGATCAACAACCACATAACTTATAAAAAATTTTTCAATTTTTAAAAATTTTTTTGAAACTATTTTTTTTATACATGGCCTTTCAATATGATGAAAATGGCAAATTTGAATAGAAAAACGCAAAATTGCACTGTCATAATTACTGTATCACCAATTAAAAAAATACGCAAAAAGTTTGCAGATAGCGGGACCGAATCCGCAACTCCATTCATGACAACATAACCTACACACCACTGAACCACAACTGCTTCACAGGTAAAACGCTGTGATCCAGAGTTGAGTCTTCCGTGACTCAGTCAGCGTAAAAATCCGGGTACAAAACGTGACCAAAATGTGACTCAATTATAATCATTTTTGACACTCGGTGTTCAATCTAAGACTATTCTGTGATCCAAAGTTGAGTCTTTCGTGACTCAGTTGGCGTAAAAATCCGGGTACAAAACGTGATCGAACGGTGACTCTATCATGATCATTTTGGAGATTCAGCGTTTGGATGTAACAGAACGTTGTATATATATATATATATATATATATATATATATATATATATATATATATATATATATATATATATATATATATATATATATATATATATATATATTTATTTAGTTACGCAGAGAAACAAATTTGAAACAAGTTATCAAGCATAAAATCGTAAAAGTTACAAACGAAGCGAATTATGTGATCCGAAATTCTCTCTCTCGTTGACTGTCGAGATGCTGTCGTCGAATGTTGACACATTTGACGGCGATTCGGTATTCTGGTGGTCGTCGATATGTGCCTTTCTAGAGCAACAGTTTTGAGATATAATAAGAATTGTCCAACTACCTGTGCTTCGTCAACTTCTTCAGCAACTTTTCAGCTTTGTCTTTGTTTTCCCATCGTTTGCGATGACTAAAAGTTCAAAAATTTTAGTTCTGAAAAAAATTCTTACATTTGATTTTTTATTGCTGATTTCACTCTGGCTAGAAGTGTTATTTCGGCTAAGACATTGGTCGCGACACGAAATCCAACTTTAAGATATTCTTAAGAGCACTTTAATTTAATTTTAACTTCATTTTTTTTAATTTCATACCAGCGATATTTTCGATGACCTCTTCATCGATCGGCGCAAATTTCGTGTTTTTCAGCGAACTCGGCAGGCAGTATACTACATAATATTTGTCTCTCTCAGCGATCTACAAATATTTTTCATCAAAATATTTTAAAATACACATCAAAAGATTTTAAAATATATCTGTCAACCCCTTTTAAAGCAATTAGTTAATGTTCACCTTGCTACCAATGCATCTCGCCGCGGTTTCTATAGTGATCTCCCACGATTTTCCTACCCAGCTTGCACAGTCTGCCATTGACACCAATTCGGCCAACTTGAACTGCTTTCTGCTTGGCAATTGTATCGACAATTGCAAAGCGTTGGCTGAACTCAAATCGAAAACAACGGCAACCTGCAAAAATTTCTATTTTACATATCAGTGTATTTTTCTTACCTCATTTGATTTCGACTTTACAATTGGCTTCCTCTGCTCCTCTTCCTGGAATGCTTTAACAGCCATGATATCGAGTAAACTCGAAATCAATTCGTTTTTGCTGCTCTCGTGGGATTTTAAGCGTAAAATTTCATAGAAATCGATGTTGTTTTTATTCTTCATCACATTTCTGATGTTTGCCTAAAGTTTTTGCTTGAGATACTAATGTTTTTCTAAGTTGCCGTACGACGCAATCAGGGCGCGAGAGTAGAACTCCAGAATTAGTAAAGCAGCATTTTTTAATTAACGCGGAGCAGTTCCAGAAACCATAACTGGACATCTGCAAAGAATTTGTTTAAAAGAATAGACACAAAAAGAAGACGTTAACATGCGAAATAAAACTAAATATCACGTAGAGGACTTATATTTTTTTACGCCATTTCATCTCCGCTGTAGTTCTTTACAACAAGCTAACGTCGAATTTTCGTTGTTATATTTATACTTTTCGATTTCTGTAGTTTTAATGAAATTATTAAGCTTTTCGAGGTTTACCATTTAATCTATAATAAGGTGTTATTTTTGTTCTGTTTTCAATGATTTTTGTCGACGTCAAACGATTGAAAGGAGGCGAAGTGTCAAAGTTCGCGAAATTTCTGTAGATGCAAATTTATCGTTGACTGAATAATAAATGGGCGTACACTACATATATAATGCAATGTACGCAGTCTCGAATACTTCTCGGTGCCTCGAGACATTGGCACATAGCCAATTATTTTTTTAAATTTAGTCCAGCCGTTTGACTCGGACATTACACATGTTTTTTCTACGTCTAGTGTCGTTTTTTTTTTTCATTTTTCAAAGCATGTGTGAGACTGACCTTTGATAAACTAGCTCCTTCGCTTGGATTCGTACCGCCGCCGTTGGCTGCACTTGGGACGTTAACATCGAAATCCGCATTGTCATCATTGGGAAAATCGGACACCTCTGCGTCCTGCGGGCGCTGGAATATTTTTTAAAAACACTATTTCCTAAACACCCACCTTTTCGGTGTTACTTTCGCCCGTTGGCGCTCCCATTTGAAACAACGACACGTAGGCGCTGAAATAATTGAAAAAACGCAGTGAAAACAAAAACAACGAAATAAACGGACTTTTGCTTTTTTTTAATACTAATGTTGTTATGCAGATTTTGGCAACAACTTTAAAAAAACACAGATTTTGTGAAATCTGAATTGGGTTTTAATTTTTTAAATAGTCTTTTACGGGTTTTATTTTGCCAAATCTGCATAGTACCATTACTAAATTGGAAGAAATGTATGCACTTTGACAGGAAATGTCGAAGAAAAAAAGAAAAAAGAGAGAAGCAACCCGATCGTGATGACAACAGAGGAACAGAGGAAAAAACAGAGTTATCTTCATGGGTGGTCTCCATGTTTCGCGCTCTATCGCAATCGCACGCGCACGCGTCGCGTTACATTTTAATTTCGCAAATTATTTTTTTTACATATTTTCTCCGCAAAATTTTAATTTTGATGTTTTTTTTCTGTAGAACTATGTTTTAATGATTTTTTCCATTGTTATTTTAAAATATTTTGTCCATTCTTGTTTTATTAGAAAGAATTTTTCAGAAAACGGAGCACAACAATGTCATAAGCAGAGCCATTCGGATATTCGGTGCGTTTTTTTATTAAACAATTATAAAGAAAAAAAAAACAATTTTAAAAAATCAATGGTGTACAAAGCTTCCATTAATTTGTACATAATATGCAGTAGATCCGTCCTGCAGGTGAGCACCAAGACCTTTCACGTTCTCAATAGGCACTAGTTCTTTCTCTCCGGTTAGTTTTCCGTGAACTATTCCAGTGAAGCTTCTCAGGTTTCTTAATAAATTAGATCCGTAAGTGTTTCCTGGTCTTTCTATTTCTTCTACGCATTTTTTGACGATATGAAATTGATTGCATCCGACGGGTCGAATCGATTCAGCGACAATCATTGCAGATTCTTTCTGGACACATACAGAAATGAATCTATACGGTGTATGGAAGCCTGTTGAAGATACAGCGAAAAAAATATCGCTTTTTGAACAAGGGAACTTCAACTGCGATTTCAACTTCCCGAATGGAAGTTGAAGTGTTCCATAATGCTTCCACTGTTGCACATCGATGAGATTGTCTAGACAGTTCACTTCAATTGAATTCTTCCATGTTATTCCTGATTTCTTTAGCGATGGAATTGAGTTCACAAGATTTGTAATGCAGTGGCTCGTAGCTTGTTCTCCTCTGACCGCTAGTTCACGTCGAACTGCGGTGTTCATCAGAACCCTGAGACAATGTTTTTTTTTATTAAAAATACATGTTCATTCAAAAACCTGGATACAGCTGTTTCGGTGAATCCCTTTGTAGCTTGAACGTTGAAACCTTTCAGGGCGAATTTGTAAAAGTGTTCATATGAAAACGTTGAGAGTGCAGCAACGTTTCCAAACTGTTCAATTGCCCGTGGAAGGTGACATACGAGCTCCTGTTATTATACTGATTAGTTCAAAATCATAATTCCTAAGATTGCATGTGTTTTAATCGTCATGTACTCGTCTCCTAAAGCCCATCTGGCTGCACCGGTCAAAATGACCATGAAGAAATCGGGCATTGGCGCGTTGCTGTACAATTGACAGCAAATCGCCATTAAAGACAAGATTGCTATGCGTGCACGGGTGGACAGCATTGGTGCAACCAAAGCTGCCATTCCAAAATTCAACCGGTAGTACTAAAATAAATAGAATTAAATCAAAAATCGTTGGATTACCGTGATTTTGTCCGTGGCATTGTTCATTTTCGCAATATTGAATTCCGGAGGGATGTTGACTGAATTGCAAATCTTCAGGAATTCTTCCGGCGATTCTAAATTGAACAACTCTTTCGACCGCCTCTTTGTCGTTTTGGTCAACGTTTCTGAAAGTAACATTTTATTCTGGTTGTACGTAGCTACACTCACCCGTCATTATCGTCGAGAGAATTCCCTCGGCCGCGTTGTGAAGGATATCGATAATCGTGTCGTATGGCATCACATAATCCAACAACGCAGAGCGAATTGGTCCGAAACCATTAATTCCCAACTCAGCGTCTTTTTGGGTAATAGCTCCTTTTCGTTTATCGTGCCGTCCTTCTTTGAGACATTCCTTTTTTGTTCGCGTTCCGGTACACATTCCAAATAAGCATGATCCTTCCGAGTTGCAGCCTACCATTCCAAACAAACATCGTTTGGCCTAAATTAATTCTTGATTTTTATTGGCTTTTGAGACTTACCGGCTGATCAGCCGTCCACGACACTATATTGAAACCGTAGGCTACACCCTCGAAAACGCTATGATGGCCTTCAATGTCTGCATATACGAGTGGAATCACCGAATTCCAGAAACTCGTAGAAGGATTTTCAGGCCCTTCAGCCACTCCGTGCATAACCAAATTTGTGGCTTTCTGCATTTCGCCTACAGGCAAGTCCACAAACATTAGCGTCACGGGCCACAATTTGTTTCTGATATCAATTAAGATGTTATTCATTATTTAAAAGATTACTTTGTGTTTCCAGAAAGCGACACGCCATCGATACTTCCTATCAGTGTGAAGTTTAACTTATTCGGCGTCTCTTTGTCCCTCAATTTGCGCAAAAATTGCCCGTTCAAGTTGTGGTGTGTGTCCTTTCCACTACTCAGATTCTTTCGAATTTGCAAAATTTCATTCCAATATTGCTTCGATATATCTCGGAGCTGCTGTAGACCTCCCACACGCACATATTTGATTATCGTTCCGTTCATACAGCTGGAAGTAATTGTAAATTCACATTTTATATTTGACCCATATCATTTTACGGCTACATTGCCAATTACAAATGATGATCAACACGAAAGTAAACTTTAGGCTAAATTATAAGAAAAAGTATGCTTACCACGATCTTGATAGATTGACCTCCTTTCCACATTTATTACAATAATAATTCACATTGAATTTCGAAATGTCATTTTTCCACAGTTTCATGACTTCTCTTCGAAATGTAGGATCCTCCTGAGTCGATAGATACATTTTAAAACCTGAAAAGCTTCCTTAAAGATGTTTTTAATCTCTTGTATACTGGTATCAGTAGAGTGATCGTAGCAGCCAGCAGCGACAAATGCTAAAACTTTATCCGAAACCTTGGAAACATACTGTGAAAGCTCTGTTAAATTACATATTGTCTATATTATATATATATATATATATATACTAACCGCTTCCGGATGTATTTCCTACGGTTTCCGATTCAGTTTCCATTAGTTCTTCACTATTTTCCTCGTCGCTAGATGTTTCTTCGCTGTTAACTTCTAGTACCGGATAAACAACTTCCTCATCATCATTTTCGTCGGTAGATCTTCTTTGAAGTTCTTCACGATTGTACTCTAAATTATTTTCCGTATTCCGTTGTTCGGGTCGTTGTTCGCCTAGAATTTTGCTTTACATTAAGGGCTAAATGTTGAAACTAAACCTGGGGCACCCAATTTGGGAAAAAATTTCAAGTTAGAGCGGCCCATCGTTAATTCTTTTATATTTTCTTGAAAATATCAGTAAAGAGTTAAATGAGATAGTGAATAATCTCGAAGTGTTTTAATTCTTTTATATGACCTATTTCCTATAGGTGGCATGACCTGATGACCTATTTCCTTTTTTTGGCAACTTTATGAGTAAACATGTATTTAACTAAATTTTTGAATTCTAAAGTAACTTTCAGGCCATAAAACGTCTGAAATTGTAATATATATTTATCATAGTCAACCAAATAAATTAAATTAACTTTTTTCAGATTACTTGATGTTCCATCAACATGTTCCATGGACTTCTGTCGTAGGTTTTTAATCAACTTTTACTTTCTTTTTAATGAAATCGTTTTATTTCATGTTTGTTTCATTGTTGAACATATCAGTTCGTCCACTTATTCGGGTGTCTTTGTTCACTGTACCAGATGTTTAATACTGATAATTCTCGTTGCTTGTCTAAACTGAATTTTACCTTGAATTCATAGTATTTTTATTACGGTTAGTATTTTTACCCAACCATTAGTAATCAAATGATCATTTTATCAAAAATAAACAAATATCAACAAAAAGTGTAATGTTGTAACTGCAGCTCTGCTTGGTGGTCGTCTTCGAAAATACTTCATCCTCCACATATTGACACAAAACTGTCATGCCGGTCCTGTTTCGTTCTGCTTCGTACTAATCTGAAACATAATATTTCCACTTCTATAATGGGTTCGGTGTCAAATAAGCTACCAGTAGGCGAGTCATGTTCAAATTTGGTGTTAATATGCGTATAGATGATATACGTAAATGTGTTTCGTCGAGCTAAATCATTTTGAACGGAACTTGCTTGGTAAAACCCTAATTTGAGGCATGTGCCGTGTCCGAATCCGTTTTCTGGCCACCTGATGAACCGATTAGCTTCAAATTTAGAACTAGAGTGGGATTGGATCTCTGACGATTATGGGTCATGATCATGGAGATGGGTCACAGTTGACACTCAGCGTATTGTAAAACGCCGAGCCTCAAATGTGATCATGATCATGAGGATGGGTCACAGTTGACACTTAGCGTATTGTAAATACGCCGAACTTCAAATGTGATCCAAAGATGGGTCACAATTTACGCTCAGCGTACGTTCAGTCACAGTTGGTACATGTTTGACATTCGGCGTTTTACCTGTGTTGCCGAATCAGGATATAAGCACGAGATAAGACATCACGTTATTTCATTTCGAGTTTCCGCACATTTGTGTGCAAAATTCACGTGGGGAGGGGCTAAAACTTTGAAGGTCCATATCTCGATAACTAGAAGTTTGCGCAGGTAGCGACCTAGTTCATTCGATTGGAAATTTTCTAAAGAATCTGTATGCAAAAAATAAAAAAATTTTAAGACGGACAGCAAAATGACCTCCCTTGTAAGAGAACCATTCGTAGACGTTTGCAAGAGATGGGGCTCCATGGGCGAAGGCCAGTGAAGAAACCATTCATTAGTCTTAAAAATCGAAAACATCGAGTTAAGTGGTGTAAGGTTCATCTTCACTGGGGACCACAAGAATGGGCAAAGCACATTTGGAGCGACGAATCTAAATTTAATTTGTTTTGGAGAGATGGTCTTACATGGATTCGCCGCCCTATTGGCACCAGGTATCAGCCGAAGTACCAACTTGCAACGGTCAAACATGGGGTGGTTCAGTAATGGTATGGGGATGTTTCTCCGCGAGTGGTATGGGGCCATTGAGACGAATCAATATATTTCCAATATGAGGACGTGCTGGAAAATACAATGCGACCATGGGCGCTTCGGTTCGTGGGTCGTGCATATGTTTTCCAGCAGGATAACGATCCAAAACATACTTCACTTCATGTGCGCAATTGGTTTCAACGGCGCCGTGTGGATGATCTTGAGTGGCCAAGCCAATCCCCGGACCTAAATCCGATTGAGCACATGTGGGAGGAGCCCCAGAGACGTCTTAATGGGGTCAGAGCCCACAATGCGGATCAAAAATTCGCTCAACTCGAAGCTGCGTGGAAAGCCATCCCACAGTCCGTCATTACCACACTTCTGGAGTCAATGCCGAGAAGATGTCAGGCTGTCATCGATGCTAAAGGCTTTGCCACGAAGTATTAAGCCTGCGTACATCATTTCATTACCTGCTTGCAACTTTAAGACCACTTTAGATCTTGTTTAAAACGGGTCACTATTTACCGGTTTCTGTTGATTTTTAATAAATTGATCTTTTCTTTTTAATTTTTCGAAAAAATTAACAACTTATGTGTAGAATTTATCACTTTTATTGTTTTATTTGTTGTCTAAAAATTTCAGAGTGATTGGACTACTTTCAGAAAAGTTATGCTCAAAAAACCATTTTTTGATTTCTTTATGGCCAGCACTGTATTAAAAATATTAAAAATAAGCACTTTTTGTGGTTTAAAAATTGACTAATTTCACACTTTTTTTGAAAAAAGTGTTGTAAATGAGGTGATTCTCTGACTTCAGCGAATGAAAATGTTTTGACTGAAATGTCGAAAATGGTAATCAAATCCCTCATTCCTATACTACTACAGCGGCATAAAAACAAAATAAAAAATTTCTGCGTGTTTTGCCAAAAACCTAGGAAAAACACTGATTCGTCCGATGAGTCTGCCGATGTGTTCCTTATTTATGCTCCTTTTTGTTTCTACAGTGCTCCACATAATTATATACCCACCCCAATTTTGTCGAATAACTCGAAAACGCGAATAGCTCCAGAAATGATTTCAATTAGAAAAATATGCGCATTTATTATTAGTTTCATGTTACATTCACAAAATTTAACAAAAAATAACAATTTAAAAAATTTCGTCATTTTCACGAAAAAGTGGAAAAAATTTTTCCACAAAATGATATACCCACTCCATTTTTGTGGCGTTTTTTTCGATTTTTTTTTCGTATATTTTCGTATTTTCGAATTTTTTTTTTGCAATTTTACTGTTTTTTAAGACATGTCTCGTAGAATGCCGCTCACCGACTTTGAAAAATGTGAAATTGAAGCAAAACTGGCTCAAGGTCTTTCTTATCGGCAAATTGGGAATGATCTCGGACGCACACAAAATGTTATTAGCCGATATGCTAAGAATCCAGCCGCATATGGTCAAAAAAAAGTTGACAGGTCGTCCTTCACTGCTTTCGGATCGTGATAAGCGCAAAATTTTGCGAAGAGCGTCAAATTCGGCCGTGTCGTGCTCAACGATTCGAAGGGAATTCAATCTCATGCTGACAAATCAAACCGTCCGGCGTGTTTTATCGAAGACCAACTTCATCAAACACAGGAAAATGAGGAAGGCACCAATGTTGACTCGAATACATCGTGAAAAACGACAGGAGTTTGCAAAAAAGAATCAACGAACTAACTGGAGACAAGTAAGAATAACGTCAACGTTCATTGAACTCTTTTTCTTCCTTCAGGTAGTCTTTTCTGATGAAAAAAAGTTCAATTGTGATGGGCCAGATGGTTATCGTGATTATTGGCACGATTTGAGAAAAGAGAAGCTACGGTTTTCGCGTAGAAATTTCAAAGGTGGAGGCGTCATGGTGTGGGCGGCAATCAGCTCGCATGGAAGAGTCAAGTTGTGCTTCGTTTCGCCGAAGATAAGTGGTTCTGACTACCGATACGTCATAAGACGTGGTCTGTTGCAATTTTGGCGTCGAAATGGGCACAAAAATTACTCTTTCATGCAAGATGGAGCCCCTTGTCATCGTGCTCGCCGCACCGTCCAGTGGATACGCAGCCGTGGAATCCCAGTTCTCGACTGGCCAGCCTGTTCTCCAGACATAAACCCCATCGAAAATGTCTGGGGATTTATGGTGAAGACGATTTACGATGGCAGCAAGTCTTTTCATTTAATTACAAATCTCAAAAAGGCAATCGTGGAAGCCTGGAAGCTTGTCGATCAACAGCTTCTTGACAACCTTTATTTATCAATGGACAGTCGAATTTTTGATGTAACACGACTCAATGGAGGTCACTGATAATAAATGCACATATTTTTCTAATTTAAACCATTTCTGGAGGTATTCGCGTTTTCGAGTTATTAAGAGGGGGAGCGAAGATGGGACGAGCAAAGGGCGAACGCGCTCCGGTAGAGGGGCGAACTCGCGAAAAATTCCCTGAAAAATTCGAATATGTCAAGGACATGGTTGGAATATTATCAGTACTATTTTTATAAACACATTTTAATACCAAATTAAATAGTGAAATATTCAAATTTTTAAAAGTTAATTAATGGTTATTACAACAACAAATATATTTTTGTTTCCATATTTTTTTCCAGATCTGTGCAACTAGATGGTTTTTTGCAGCGCAAATGGTCAATTAGCCGAAATTTACGTTTTTACTACTGATTGAAATTTCAAAAAAATATTGGCTTTCTGCAATGGTGTCTCGAGGCAAAGAGAATTGTTTGCTTGTCTGTGTACTCTACTTTTTAGTGTACTATGGACTTATTCATCTAACAGATTTTTCTTTATATACAAAAAATGTTTTAAAAATTTACATTCAATCATTAATAGAACGCGATTTTTTTTCAACTCTGCATTGCAAAAATGTGGAATTTTTTAAAAAACAAGATGAATCAGTAAATTTATACTATTTTTCTGAAATTTTTTTTGTTCCCCGCCATTTGACACCGATTATATAAATGCGTGTGGAAAAATTTCAGACGTAATATTTTTTCACGCTACGGTGGTGCTGAAGGAGCATTATTGTACTTGACAAATATCTTATCACATCTCAACAATAATTACAGTAGCATCGTTGTCAGCACCGATTTCATTACTGATAATTCAGTCATTATCGGTAACTCAACCATACTGCGTGTTAGATAGATTTAAAATTTCACTCCTTTCGTCATTGTCTCGACACATATGAATGCTTATTTTTTGTTATTTTCTCGTGAACTGGTTATTTCTTCTTGGTTGATTTGTGAATTCTTGGCATTTCTAAGGTTATTATGGACCTATTCGTGCAAAAAATATGTCAATATAGGCATTTCTCAGTACTGGGTTATAAAAAATCGCATAAACTTAAATTTAATTTTTTTTTGTAAAAATATACATTTCATGAAGAAGTATATAAAATGTATAATTGTCGAAATTTATTATCAGCCATTTATTGCGAAATAACCAGTTTGTCCACACGAAGCCACAGCGCCCGTAAAGGTATCCGCGGCGCCTCCGACTGTATGTGCATATTTTGTTACATTTTTTCTACTTGATTTTTCTGTGTGCTCGATCATAATTAACTAATTTAGATCCGTTGAACTTGATAACATGGTCAATGAGAAACATGTAAGTTGGTTTTTACTAATGTTTAAAGTTATTTATATTCTCTTTCAGCAACTTGTTGTCAATGTCTTCGGACTTCAACTTGAACAAAGGAAAATATTTCGTCACATTGTCCAACTGAAGCTTGTCGATCAAAAGCACAATAAAGACTACATTTTAACGACGATGAGTGCTAGGTATTTCAAAAAACGATTAAATAAATTTATACTTAATCTTAAGAGGACGTGGAAACCGCGCCAGCAAGCAGAATGACAATTTCATATTGATGAATTATATTCTTGACACATATGTTCACGAGTCCAAGGAGTCTGGAAATTCCATCAAACGACCCATTGTGGCTTACGATGGGGCTCAAACTCTTTTTTCACTCACGCAAATCAATGTGGTTAGTTAGTTTATAAAATACTTACCGTATTATCAATTTACGTTTTAAATATTCTAATATGTTATCTTAGGCTACCGTTCTTGAAAACAACGATGCCTTGGAACTCGATGGTATTTCCGAATTTCTAAAGGATTCTTTAAAATTTTTAAATGGGCGCATTGAACTATTCTGCCAGCCAGATGTTGAAAAGCCGATTTTTGATCAGACAGATATTGAAGAATGGAGCGATCCTAGATTTTTGAACTACCTTGATATTGTCACTTCTCAAAGCGCTATTAGATCGTAAGTTCACAAGGTCGAAGTAAATATTGAAATAATATTTAGCGGTAAATATCTTTCGCAATCGCGAGGTTTGTACGTCAACACTGAATATGAGGAGCCACTTCGAGGGAATTGGGGAGTGGGAGCAAAAGGAGTTCATAAAGGTTGCAGAATTGTGGGAGACGAGGAGCCCTTGCCTATTTTAGAACTTGACCGTTAGTTTTACATTTTTTTACGGACCTTTTCATCCGATTATACAAGCTTCCAATGCAATGTTATGAAGAAACACATTTCAGGAAGTTTTTTTTTTACATTTTTTTTGTTGAAAGTTAATTCATGAATAGGTCCTTAATAAACGTGTGCACAACGTTTTTTTATTTACACGAGTTTCTTATTTTAATATTTATTTACTTGTACAGCGCAATCGACTCAATATTTCGCACCGATCAGTCTCGCTCAGTTGCTCATGAATGCGATTCCAAATGTTTTCAATCGCAGACATGTAAATCCGGACAATAGATTGAAGATGAAAGTTCGAACATTGTTGAAAGGTGAATTTTATTACTAGTCTAATTTAAAAAATTTATATATACTCAGATTTGAAATGTAATCCTTACTACGCTGATATCGATAAATGGGCTACAAATACTCTTATCGTTCACGATATTGATTATAGTTCACCCTTAAACCCAGAGTTTCAAAAGCAATTTCCAGAACTGAAGTGTGATTCGATTTTCTTATAAGAACTTGATATTTTCTTCCAGATTTCCGCATCTTCCAGCTGCTGTGTGTGGAGCAGGACCGAATAAGAAACGCTATCCGCTCGAATTTTTACGAGTTTTACCGTATCAAACAATTGATCGAAATGTCCTTGTCGAATTCAAAATGAACGTATGTAATATTAAATTTCAACAATGAAATTTTCAATGTTTAGCCTCGAGCCAAAGATCCAATGGTTCGTTGGAACGATATGCAAATACATTATGCGCAGTTCAACTTTGACGACCCAATAATTTCTGAGTTTGGAATTCGTGTTTGCAATGATCCATTCGATTGCGTATAAGGAATTTTGTATATTATTTAAAATGTTCAAATTTCAGCTCAGCCAAGTGGAAGGTGATCGTGTTACAGCTCCACAAATCAGTTACGAGCGTCAAGTAAATGTTGATGATGCGAAACGTGATTGGAGAGCCGGAGATCATCGATTTCAAGAACCTAGCAATATTGATTTGCTAATGGTGGTATTAATCGTAGATGAAGTACAAATAATGCGCGAAGCTCGCGAGAACACGGAACTTGTTGCTAACCGCTTCGTACAACGTTGCCAAGAAAAAGGAATGAGAGTAAGAGATGTTGCTTTTCGCGCATCACCGGGAAGGAACGCTGATCCTGAGAATTTCTTGACTGGGATTTTCGCAGATCTCGTACAGATGAAAACTAGCCGTAGCTTTATGCCATTCGTTCTACTTGTTTCCGATGATGTTCCAAATATTCATGGTATTTGATTACTATACATCTGTTAAATTAAACGATATGTGTTTTTTAGAATGGTTAAAGTTTGAAGAGCGAATGAGCGATATTCCTACGCAGCATATTCTCTTATCAAATGTTAAAAAGATGGCTTATAACTTGAAATCTAGAGGAAATGATGGAGGATATCGTGGAAACAACCGCGGTGGAATGCGAGGAGGAAGACCTGGATACGACTTAACACTGGACAACATTGTAATGAAAGCCAACATTAAAGCTGGTGGTTGTAATTATACATCGGATATTCCAAAAGAGTTGGTGCTAATTGTTTTTAATATGAAGTTCTTTAACATTATAGCATTGCAAATTGGGCGAATGTTTCCACTTTTGTCGTTGGTCTAGATGTTGCGCATCCAGACAGAGCCGCTACACGCGACGGCCAGCCATCTACCGTTGGCGTAAGAATTAACGTGCACGTTAGCTTAGGAATTAACGTATTTTGAATTCAGTTGTCTTGCAATTCTGCGGAGAATCCTTACACATTCATAGGCGATTTTGCATACACAACTCCTAGAAAAGAAGCAATCGACGATGACATTTTGAGATCGTTCGTTGATAAAAACATTAGACACTTTGCTGAAATTCGCGGATTTCCGGAAAAAGTAATTATTTTCCGTGATGGCGTCTCGTTTGGGGAAGAGGACGAAGCCGCCCGTGAAACTTCTGTAATTGAAGAGACAATTGTCAATATTGCTGAACAATCAGGGAAAAGAGATTACAAACCTTCGGTTCTCTCATTTGTGGTGAAAAAACGTCATCACACTAGATTCTACATACGCGATGGCCGTCAAGGATCTCCAGCTGTTCGTTTTTCTGTAATCATACTTCCTAGTATTTTCATTTTAGAATCCGTTGCCGGATACCGCTGTAGGAGGAATGATTGCTGAATTTGGAAAACGTCAAATCTTTATTCAAGCATACCGCCCGGTTCAGGGAACTGCTAAAATCCCGTCTTTCTTAATTATTCGAGATGACGAAGGTTTCAGTGATGAGCATATTACAAAGTTAGTCTGTGCCGTCTGTTCGCTCCATCAAGTGAGTGCATTTTTATTCTCTTACGAATTCGAAATTTTGGAAAAAGTAATTTAGCTTCGCAGGTTGTCTAAAGTACGGTATCCGAATTCCTATTGTTTAAATTCGAATTTGAATTACCGCCTCGAAAAAGTGCAATAGTTAAAAAAACAATCCCCTTGAACAATTGTAGAAAATCGTTTTTTTTTTCGGTGCGATAATTCAATGTTCCATTTACGGATACCGCATTACAGATAATCCGCTAATCTAACTCTGTAAATCTGCAATATGGTGTTTGTTTTTGACTTTTATGATAAAAGTGCAAATTTATTGTCAAAGTTACGACTGTGGAAAATTGGCTAAATGACAATAAAACAATGTGGGTGGTCTTGGTGCAAAGCTAAAAGTGTAGATTTATTGAAGGGATTCTTGTTATGTAATCTGTCGCCGTTCAACTTTAATAAATATTAATTGCACCTTTTTTACTTAAAACTTTCAGATTGTTAATAGTCCAACATCAATTCCAACACCAGTTTATGTCGCGCACGAGCTTGCAAAACGCGGAAGAACAGTGATTCTTAAAGCTTATAGGTATTATAAAGTCTGTATCCCAAAATACGCCGCTCTCAGAATCGGTCGTCAATAGCATGCAACTTGTTTTTCAGTTCTTAAAATACTTTCGAATATGGAAAACTTAAAATCTTCTTGAAAACCACTGATCTTTTTTAATTTTTGATAATCGAATTTTAAGAAATTAAAAAAATTATGAGTAACTTAAATCGCGAAATTAAATTACATATTGCTTGGAAAAGTTCGATGGTCAACAATTATTCAAAATGCTTTTTTTTGTGATGGAAATAAATAAAATAAATGAGTAGTTGCGTCTCTGTAGCGACTGATTCTGGTGGCTGATTTCTTCCGGAAACAGAATGGACATGTCAAAGTTTATTTTTAATTTAAACAGGCTCAAACAAGGGACCGTTGAAGAAACCGACTACCCTGGTAAATGGATGGAACTTACCCTGCAACTATCATACTCTTCACTTGACCGTCTATCAAAGATTCGCGTTGTTTAATTTCTTCTGCGCACTAATATCATGTTCATATATTCAAATAATCACACAGTCGACGAAGATTGTTTTAATCTTGTTGTATTTTGCTTCTTCAGTATTGTATTTGTTAGTTTACAAAATATGATCACATTTATTTAGTTTTCACTATCTGGTCTACTTTTAAGACGTATCAGAGATGATTGCTTTAAAAATCAAATTATTTATTTTATATAATTGTAGAAAAGATTTTCCCGTTATCGTTCTTAATATGAAGTTTTAATCCAACGGTGCATAGCTTTATTTTGCTACACTGCCTATTCAAACAAGCACATTCAAAATGCTCCGCCCATTTTATGCTCCTCCTCTTCTTTTTCTGCTGCTTCTTCCTCGTGCGCATCGCATTTCCCCATTTTTTGGGACACCATATTGAATGCTGAACTCAATTGTGCTCTAATATTAAAATCGAGATGAACTACAGTCTTGAAGAATACCACAGTACTCGCTTGGAGGAAATATTTTCGTATGAGAATGTTGAACGAGTCACCTATCAAAAAGTGCGACGCATCTCTTCTGGGTCAAACTTTTGTGGAACTTAAATGACACCTGTCTTTTAGCGTATATGATTGCTTTAAAATAAATTTTTATTTTATATAATTGTAAATTTCGTTTCGTTCTTAATATGAAGTTTTTATCCAAAGGTGAAAAATTTTTTTTTTTTAAAAAATTTATTAAAAAAAGCACATTCAAAATGCTCCGCCCATTTTATGCTCCTCCTCTTCTTTTTCTGCTGCTTCTTCCTCGTGCGCATCGCATTTCCCCATTTTTTGGGACACCATATTGAATGCTGAACTCAATTGTGCTCTAATATTAAAATCGAGATGAACTACAGTCTTGAAGAATACCACAGTACTCGCTTGGAGGAAATATTTTCGTATGAGAATGTTGAACGAGTCACCTATCTTTACTTAATTCCGATGGTAGGTTTTCCTTATAAAATTACAATAGCAAACAATGGCGCAGATTTATTGTCGAAAACAGACGACAAATTTGAATGAACAAACGCGTTAGCCGTTTTTGATCTTGGCACTAAAGCATACTGTAATATCTATTGTAATTTTTAATGTATTTCACTAGATTAATTCGAAAATGATTATAAGACCATGGCGCCAAGATTTAAAAAATAAGCCCCCACCTAAATACGTCCGTCCTCGACAATACAATCAATTTGATATGCCGGTTACTGAAAAATATTCTTGTTTTTTAATTGAAATTTGAATTATCAACCCAAAGGAATGGTCCACAATTGTTCAATTTCTTTTTTACGATAGCAATAATATTATATTTCGGCTTGTGTTGCATCAAGGAAGTAATCATTTTTGGGATGGGATGGAAATAACGATTGGCCCGAAAAAAAGCAATATTGTGGTTTTATGTTTGTCTCAAGTAGTCACAGGATATCCAAGAAATATTTATATATTAGAATTAAATCGACGAGTTTCATTCGATTCTTTCTGTAAACTTCCTGACCTTCTAAATTTTAAAATGAGAAGAGTTGTACTTCTCTTCTTCTCTGAAAAAAAGTTTAGAAGAAACAATTGCAATTTTTGTTTTTTTTTAATCTTCTTCGTCATATTTTATCGAGGGCCTTATTGAATTGAGCCATTTTAGACTGCGGGCGGAATATGATGAGTGAAGACGGATATTTATAACGTTGTTCTCTGACACGGATTGTGTGAATTTTACGGCTTCTAGGCAGCAATTAGTGCAAAACCAAA